TTGCTGGACATATAATCATTCTGAATTATCCGGTCTTATGCATTTTCGAGTATCTCGTTGAAATTATACATCCTGCATTACTTACATCAAACTTGTCCTGAGTAAACCTGGCCTCCCCCTTGGCCCATATGGCCAATACCTGTGTAATAAATGCCTCCACAGACTTATACTTCTGACTCTGTGAACTCATTTTTCATTCGTCATCAGCAGAAAAATTCCGGAACCTGTTATTAAGGTGTTCATGCGTGCCCTTAATGCTGTAGAAATCCTGAAGTGCCTATTCCGATGGTTCCTTTCTGGGCCACATAGTACGTGTGCCTGGCTCCCGCACAGAATAACCTTTCTATGTGCTTGACAACAGGTAGGAGCTACTAGAACAGTTGTATAATATATTGTTATAATACACAAGGAAAAAGATGACCCTGCTGTTGTTGCCCTTAATACATATTAAGCTTTAACAAAATGTTGCCTATATAAATGCCCATTTTACATTAGGTAATATCTAACATTCTACGAGAACAAAAAAGACGGAAAATAAGACATATGTAAGAAGAATAAAAAGCAAAGAGAAAAGAATACAAATAAAAAAAATAAAAAACAAACAAGGTCAAGAAAAAAAATACTACACTACACTACCGTACGCACACAACACAACGTCATGAATACCCCCTTCTACACCCGACGCCCGGTTCTCCACTAAACGCCTTCACACACTGTCTCTCTGCGCGTACACCTAAAAACCGCAGTATAACAACAACATCAATGCTTGTGCCGTGGTTGCCGCCGTCCTGCCGTCGTGGTTGCTCGCCCACATAATATGTGTGTTCCGTCAGCTCTCCCGCTCTCTCTGGATCCTTCCATCAAATCACGGCACACGGACAATGCCGTACTCGAACAATCCCGTGTACCCGGGCCGCGTTTGCTCGGCGAGACAATCCTCCTCCTTCTTACACTCGGACAATCCTGCGTCGAACTGCTTCACTCGGACAGTCGTGTTTACGCGGCCACGTGTGCTCGGACAGACAATCTCTCCGTCCTTTCTTACACTCGGACAATCCGTCGTCGAATACTTCTTACACTCGGCCGCTTTGGTCGACGCGTTTGCTCGGAGAGACAATCTCTCCTTATACTCGAATGCTTATTCGCATGCTATATGTGTGCTGCACTATACCCATAGCATGCACGTTCTCAGCTTTTAATAATTAACGTCACACAAAGGAGAATACTGCCCTTTCATAGTATTCATTTAAATCTACATTTTATATGCATGTCACATGTACCGCCCTGTTCCTATGGTCATGTTAAAAGAAGTGGACTACACAGAAAAAGAACAAAACAAAAGCAACAGTAAGCACAAGTAAGCAGAACAGAGCAGAAAAAAAAAAAACAAGGTATGGAATAATGTAAACCCGAAATATATTATGTATATCACATAATAAAGTAAAAGTGGTGTACGATTAGCATGCGTTAGTTCCCATTCATATGCCGCGTCATCCGAATGTCAGAGCTGGTCCAGTAGTTCATCCACATATAACTCCTTCTCTTGCATACTACTCTCGAGCTCGCTCTGTTCTATGACTAGTGCCAGGATCAGTATCCATGTGGGAGCCGTTAACCGTTGTTTCATGTGCGGTGGCGGATGCATTGGCTGCGCGCGTGGTGCAACTCGCACTCGTAGTATATGTTCTGTTCCCATTGCTTTTTCCACTTCTAAGGCTTTTTCCGCTATAGGTACTGCGCGTTTGTGCGGTGCTCTCGCCTCCGCTACATTATTCAACAAAGGTTGGAACCACGCCTCCGCACCATATATATGCATAAGCGCATGTTGCTTCGCGACCCATGCTTTCCACAAGTCCAGTTTCTTCCTCTCCAGGGTTGCGGCTGTCCTGTGCTCACCGGATGCTGCGTCTGCCATCATGTGCTCACGCACATGTTGTGTCCAATCCGCTTTTAATTGCAGAAACCACGGCTGCCCCGTGCACGCCCGCAATAGGTGCTTGTTGCGGTGAATCCAAGGGATCCATTGGGTGCAGGCGGACGTCGCATTGTCGGGATTGGAATGAGCACGACTCTGTTGTGCATCTAACTGTATAGTTTCCATACAATTCCATCGGTCGTCTTCGGTCGGTGCAGAACGGTCCGTTGCTAACTGCATGGTTTCCATACAAGTCCATGGATCGGAGTCCTCTTCATTCGGTGCACAAGGGCCCGGTGCTAACGGTATCGTTTCCATACAACCCCATGGATCGGAGTCATCTTCATTAGGTGGAGAAGCGTCCGTGCGTTCGATGTCAGTGGATGGATCGAGGGTGGATGAAACATCGTTCCCTGATAAACCCTGGTTTGTGCTAGGAGCATGCGGAGAACTGCTATAGCCCTGGGCGCACCGCATCAACTCCTGCGCAAACGCCTCCACAAGTATCTGCAAATAGTCGTCTTTGACGCTTTCCCATTCGGTTGCTTCACATTCGTGCAGCACTTCTAGATGTAGCTCGATGATGGTGCGCTTATGCACGCGTGGGGGGCGTTGTCCTCGGGCGGATGTTGACGCAGGTTGCCTATCCCTAATCATCGTGTGACCGTAATCGGGTGGCGGCGCGCCGCGTTGTAGATGCTCCAATATTTCTTCGTCGAGTGGCGGTGACGGCACGTCACGAACGGTTCGATATGTTCGTCGTCGTTTTTTTCCGAGGTACGCAAAGTACTAAGCAAAGAAAAAGGGGGTAAAGAGGAGGGTGAGGACGGTAGGATAAAAGGAATGAATGCGGGTGCAGGAGAATATATGGATTAGAACGATCATATATTGGAGCCGGTTGGGATGTTCTGAGGTATAAACATCCTGCACATGCAGCATGCCCGCATTGTCGTATATACTTACCTTCCACAGAAAAAACGCGATAACCCCAATACCAACAACCGCGGGAATGATCACGGGGGTGTACGGCTTGACATCTGCCCATGTGAGGCCGGGCGAGGAGGTACTTTGGTCATTCATTAGTTCTTTCTTCTCTTCTGTTTTTGTTAAACCACTTCCAGTATCTTCCTTTGGTGCAGCTCCTCCTCCTGCCGGAGTACCTACACCGAAATTGTCTCCTGCGGTGCCTGGTCCGGAGGAACCAGGATTTTGGTGACCAGTAGAACCTGCAGCAGGGGAACCGGGGTCGCCTGCACTACCACCTCCTCCATCCCCACCCCCTTTTCCTTCCTCACCAGACACACCACCTGCAGTGGTTTTGTCGTCGCCGCTCGACCCCGCCTGACCGTCCCCATTCAGATCCGCTTTTGGTTTGGGTGGATTGAGAGGAGGGGGGTCACTATTTTCTCCGTCGACGGCGTTCGGATCGGCTGGGTTTGCTTCACGATCTTTACCAGCTGGACCGGTAGTACCCGCGTCACCGAGCGGCGCTGGTGAACCAGGTGCACCGCTTGGACCTGTTTCACCGGGTGAACCATTGGAACCAGATGGAGCTGTTGGTGTTGCTTGTGCTGGTGCAGGAGCTGGTGCTGTTGATGCGTCTTCTTGTGTCGTATTCGTGGGGCCACTGACATCGACTTCACCTATAAGTTCAAGCGGCAAGAAGGACGAAAAGAATATGCATCAAACTGAAATTTTACGAGGTGGTTGGGCCCATGGTTCACGGTGGTTGATCATGCTGCGTTGACCACGGTCCGTCGATGATGGTTGGCCACACGATCCGCACCATTGGCACCATGGTGCCACGGAGACGACGTGAAGAACGGGGAATGGCACGGGGGCACGGTGCCACGGGGCAGGAGACGGACGGTGAGGCATGGCACGGTGCGAACGGTGTTTGGCATGTGCCACTCCGGGAAAAGACTCTCTCTGTCTCTCGCACAACCCACAACACACAACACAGCACACACACACAGTGTGTGTGTGTCGATGTCTGCGTCGACGTCTACATCCAGCGGCGGCTGTCTGTCGGCAGCTGTCGCCTCGTCGCTCTGCGTCGCGCCCATTCTCATTCGACGTTTGGTTTCTCTCGCTCTCTCTCTCTCTCCGGAAAAGTTGTTTTGTTTTTTTGTTCTCTCGTTCTTTGCTCTCATCGGACTCACTACCTGGGGTACCATTGCCTGAGCAGTCGGATGAAGAGCCTTGGCCGAAGGAAATGATAAGGTGAGCACCCGCGGACGTTTTTTCATTGATATCTTGCGCGCACATACTAGTATTACTTGAGGAATCCGGCGGTGTAGGCGCCTTACTGCTTCCCTTAGGTACTTTCCCCTCGGAGAACGGTGCTGTTCCTGCCTGTGGAGACTGTGGTACTGGGGGTGACTGAGGAACGGGTGGCGCTTGTGGTTCTGATGGTAGCTGTGGTGGTTGTTGTGGTGGAGCTTCTGGTTTCTTCGGTGGCGGTGCAGACTTCGCTGGACTCTTGTCTACGGAAGAAGATAATGATGAAAAATACTAATGTACACAGACCAGGAGAAATAAGTAAGTAAAGAAAGAAGAAGAATCCCAAGGACTGTGAGCCATCTGCTGTTCCTTGCACTCTGCCCTGAGTGTCATGCTTAGGGTTCCCATCCCAACACCCTGGTGGTTCCTGTCGTGGATCTCCTTCGTCCCACAACCACTCTCAGACACAAGCACTCTGTCACACAAACAGTGTCAGGCACACCTCGCCTACACAGTGGCCAACGCTGCCACCGGTACGCTCGTCGCTACGTACGCGCCGTCGTCGCCGCACGTGCGGTGTTGTTGTGGTGGTGGTGGCATGCGCACGGTACGTGGCGTACGGTCAGTAATGGGCCGAACATATTCGTAGTGTTGGTATTCGTTTTCTTACCACTAGTGTTCCTATCGTTCAATTCTGTAATTTTCTCCTCTACCACTTGCGTCGCCCTCTGGATTATTTCTGCTGCATTCGTTTTCACTTTTTTGCCTACTGTTTGATCTATCTGACGTTTCTCTGCCGTCGTAGGTTCAGTACTCGTACTGTTCATGCCCTTCTCCTTAATATACTGTTTCCACTCTGTATTACAGGGCATTTCCCTTTGCATCTGTGCTATTTTTCCAAGTAATTGCGCGTCCTGCAATAACCACTCTGCTATGTCCAAATTTATTGCTTGCACATGGTGCTTATGGCCCTCGTATCCGCACATTGTGCACCTCTTGTCCGTAACAGGCCCAGGTGGCAGTCCCGTTCCTAATTTCTCATCCCCCATGTGCTGCATTACAATGTATGCATATTCGATACCTCTGTACCATTGTTGTTGACCTTCACAATACTTTTTTTTCAGTAAATGTCCAAATACATTTGCTACTTCACATCTTAGTTTATTCTCTTCTTCCTCATCCATGTGCACGCCGTCCTGCGTGGCGTTGTCTTGTCTACCCCACCCATTGGCGAAACCCAATGCTATAGTCATAAGTCTACACCTGACTACGTCCGGTACCATCTGCTGCTTGTAATATGTGGATGTGTTGTCCATATCTTCCCAACCAGAATTATAACAGTTTACACCATACGCATCTACGTGCTGTTCATTTTTCTCCATATATTCCTTAAAATCTTTCAAAACCTTCTGTAATTTGTCCATATGTTGTTTCTGTATTATGAGCGTGAAAATACATGTATACGTATGTTAACGGTTTCAGCACAATCTACCCCGCAGGAACATTCACACCCGCATATATGCATACACGCCATGGACAAGTTGTTCCTTCCATGTATTCCTCATCCCTTCTGTTTCCTGCCCTTCACACACTCGAACTTACACCATAATTAGCTTGCACATATGTTTCCTTTTGCCTCCACTCCAATAATTTGTCTCCTTGACACTTCTGCTGTGTGTCGTGCTGCTTCCCCTGCCCGCCTCCGGTACTACCAGCACCACTCGTACCACCACTACGACCACCACCACCACCAGATGGCGACGTCGGCGTCCCACTTCCCGGTGGTGCCGGTTTCGCCGCTATTGGTGTGGCAGCGTTGTTTGTTCCGTTGCCGGGTGCTGGTGGTGCTGGTTTGGCAGCGGTGGCAGGTGTGGCCGGGGCCGGGTTGCCTGACGGTGGGGGCGATTCACCCGATTTGCCCACTCCTTCTTTTCCCGGACCCACTGGTCGCGATGGCCGTGGTGGCCTCGGTGGTGGAGGGGGTCTGGGTGCTGGCGCTGGTCGTGGCCTCGGCGTCGGTGGTGGCCGTTCATGCGTAACTTCACCTGTTGAACTTTTCGAAGAGTAGTCCCCGGTGTTCACCTTCTTTATTATATCCTGCATACGTGTACCCTCCTGAGATGTCTGTATTGCATCCAAAATTTTTTTAACCGCCGTTTCTATTTCTTCCCCCACCTTCTGTATTTCGTCCTTTACCTCTTTTTTTAACTCTGTTACATCATCGTCTAGCTGTCCCTTTCCCTTGTTCTTGACGGTACAATCCGGTCCTAACACCCCCTCCTGCCCATCCTGCAGCTTTAACTTATTCCTCTCAAGCCATCTGTCCATTATGCGCCATAAATCCCATTCGCCTGTTTCTCCCGTGCTCCCACTGTTATGCTGCATATCCTGCTCTTGACATGTCATATTAGGCTGCTTGTGATCTCCTTCTTTCACTAGTGCTTCTGCTGCCCGAAATGCCAGGTTCCCTCCTTGCGTGTTTAAACATGTGTGACCTATTATTCTCTTCAAAAATATATTTACCAGAATACACCTCATGTATGATTCTATGGCATGCTGCTTCTGTTCTATACTCCCGGAGCGTGCACCCGGTATTCCTGATTGCCTCATGCCTAGGGAAATACCATGTTTAAAACATAATGCCTTCAGTGCTAACGCGCACACAGCTTTAGTCTGCGCATCCAGTTTCCCGGCTTCTCCGTCTTCATCGTCTTCCCCCCCACACAATGTCGCTATGATATTATCATCTTCCTCATTTTCCATGTGCCCCCTAAATTTCTGCCATACTTCCTGCACATTCTGCCAAAAATTTTCCTGTAAGTGCAACATTAATTGCATGCACATGTATGAACTATACTCCTGCTGCTACCTATGCTCTGTATATAATTATCTATACTATTGCACTTCCCATTTATATATATCTTTACCCTTGTGATAATATTATAGCAGCCGATAATGCACATACACATTAGCCCTTCGCACAATCCTCAAATGTAGTCTATAATAGTTGTATAATACTGTCCAATTTCCTTTTATTCGGTGATACACATGAACTTACCCTACATGACTGGTCACAACCCTTTACCCCAACATTCCCCGTCTTAATATAGTCCTTCCACAATATGTCCAAGTACGTCGCCATGATGGCCCTATTCTGCGTTAGGTAATATGTTCGTGGTTCTGACCCGCACCTGAACTCTGCACTAAATGCATATTAGCCCCCAAGACTACAGCTCACTTCCATAAATATTTGACTTCCTGCATACTTAGATTATTCCGTCCTTACTGTATCCCTTAATAGCAATACTGTGAACATAAATCCTGGACCCGAGGAACCCTTAACCACAAATACCCCCCCTTTCACAACAACTACCCGCAATGAACAAAAACTACCCCCCTTAACAACAAATACCCGCACTGAACAAAAACTACCCCCCTTAAGAACAAATACCCCCCGTAACAACAAATATCTGCTTTAACAACAATACCGTTAAAAACCAGTATGCCCTATACACTAAACCGCAGTAGCGACAACAACATCAATTCTTCTTCCGTCGTTGCTACCGTCGTTGCTGCCGTCGTTGCCGGTACTTGTATGCTCCCACATAAGATGTGTGTTGCTGCCTCCCCCCCTCTGTGGATCGTTGTGCGGAGAGACAATCTCTCCCTCCTTTCTTACACTCGGCACAATGCTTACTCGGCTACTTCGTCGAATCCGTCTTGCACTCGGATACTTCGTGCGAAGCCGGCCGCGTGTGC